CCCAGAAAATCAATAGATTCTTTTTCAACATCTATCTTGGTTGGAGATAAGATGATTCCGTAAGTCTTCAGTTTTTCTGAAAGACAAAGAAGATGTTTTTTATGTTCTTCTCTAGTTTTAGAGAAAACTAAAATATCATCTATGTAAACAACAACAAAATCTTTAAGATCATTAAAGATAGAATCCATCCATCGTTGATAGATTTGTGGTGCTGTGTTGAGACCAAAAGGCATAACGGTCCATTGATAGTGGCCGTGAGGGGTACTGAACGCCGTAAGGGGCTTTGACTTCTTTCTCAGTTTGATCTGCCAAAAGCCTACTTTACAATCAAACTTACTAAAGATTTTAGCTCCACGGGTTTGATTGATCAGAACATCTTTGCGTGGGATAAAATAACCATCAAATATCAAATGCTCATTTAGCCGTTTATAGTTGATGACCATGCGGGCTTTACCTCGTTTAAGTTCACTATGGTTTCTAACCATAAATGCGGGGCTGCTATGTGGACTGCGTGTGCGTTCAATGAGTTTTTTCTCAAGGAGCTCTTGAAGTTGTGCGTCAAATTCATCAATGTCTCTTCGAAGGTAGATCATTGGTTTAACTCGAATAATAACATTCTGATTTTTGAGTTTTCAGGCTGCAAAATCGAGGACTTCTTTTCCACAGGGTAAGTGGATTATCGGAAAAATTTTGGCGTAGAGATGCATATAACTAATGAGTATCAGCTAGGACTAGTAAGTCAGTATCTCGTTTGGGTGGAGAGAACTTTTCATTACAAACAGAAGCTAAATTCTCTTGAATTGGGATTTCAACGACTGTTTGGTCTTTTAGAGTTAAAGAAATAGTTTTTTCTTTTAACTGCAAAGGAAGGTAACTATAGATAAAGTTACATCCTAGAATGAAATCACCATGCATATAGGGGAAGCAAAGAATTTTTGGGATAATGAACTTTTTATCATTAAGCCAGATAGCAACGTCTTTTGCTTTAAACTGAATAACATTCAGGGGAGCTTCAGCATCAATGCCTTGAACACCAATGGGGTGTTTCATTTGCTGCCATTTTTCTGAAGGTAGGGCATTAAATCGACAACAACTGGTGGTTGCGCCTGTATCAATTAAAACACAAAGGCTATATGGTTTATATCCTTTGAAATTGAAGATACCGTTGACATACGTGTACTTGCGTTTTTTGCCTTGAGAAGGAGCGAGTAAAATTTCATCATTTCCTGTGCGAAAATGGAAGAATTTTGCTGAGTTCATTTTATGATTTGAACCAGGCAAAAAGGGAGCATTGACGTTAGGGTCAACAGGAGCTTTGCCTTTTTCTGTCCAGGTAAATCGTCGTCAAGGAGGTACATCGACTGAAATTCGTGGGGAAAGGATTCTTTCCCATCCAGGGTTTCTCTCAGAAACTGAGCGTTGTAGCTGAGGTGGTTTTGCTTTGTTTGTAACATAGAGATTTGAGCCGGAGGCATGAATCGTGGCTACAGTTGGTTCTGTAATTCGTAACTTGGGTTCAGAATTGATATTATCAAATAACCAAGTTTTAGGAATTTCAAGATCAGTCCACTTGAGAAGTTTAGGCTCAATTATTGTGTCAAATGGCCTTGGTTCGAACAAAGTGACTAATTTAGAGTCAATGGTAGGAACAGTAGCAGTTTCGGGTTCTCGAGTGAGTTCATAAAGAACTTTCCACTGGATGCCAAGACTGGGGGAGTCATAATCCATTTGTAGTTTTGACAACTGAAGTCTGACTTGAAGAACTTTCTCAATGTTTGGATCAGAAAGTGAAACGAAATAATTTGGTTTGATTTTAAACCACATAAGATTATTGACCACTTGTTAAGGTTTATTGAATTGAAAAAAAAAAAAAAAAAAAAATGTGAATGTAACGCCCCAAAAGGATACCTAAATAATACTAAAAAAAATATAAAATTTCGGCATGACCTCTGCAGAAAAAGTCCCTCTACAACCTGTTGAAATACAAAAATAAATGCAATGGCCTCATTGGGCCTTATATCTAACTTATCCTGTCCAAACGCACAATACAGATATTATATTACATTCCCAAAATAGTTACATACATACAAAAGTCCCGTTCCTCCATCTCATCCAAACAAGGGGCACACTTTATTTACATCAATTTACAGTCCAAAAGTATAGTTAAAATTTAAAAGTCCATAACTTACAACATTATACTAATTAAACTAAAGTTTCACAAGATAGCTAAGATTACATTTACAAAATATTAAAGTTCTAATACAAAAGATAGCAAAAATAAAATAGATCCCCAAGCTCGTCTAAAATTGTGGTGGATCGTCATCCGCCACCTCTTTTCCATATCCTGAAAAATGTTTAAAATAATGGAGTGAGCATAAGCTCAGTAGGAAGTGTTTAAGACACACTTCTTATGTCCCCGTGAATCCATGCAATGAATAGATAAATAGTGAACGGGATCATGCCGTAGGGAAATACACATTCTCAACCACAATAACAAATATGTAACAAATATCAACCAATCACAATTTTACCACAATGTCATGAAGTGTAATGTTATGCAAATGTCACTCCCCATTTCTGAAATAATTCCGTTTCAACAACCAAACTGTTAGTGTAGTCCGACCCAAGGCACCTCCATGGCGTAACAAAAGGAAGGTTGGTTAACTATCTACGACCACAAGGCACCTCCAAGGCGTCGCATCCGGCTTAGTTAACTCAACTACTTTCCCTTCTAGACTACACCAACATCACGGACCACTAGGCGCCTCATAGGCGTCCAGTTTTCACAAACACTTTTAGAAATACTTTTCCCAAAACTTTATTTCCTTTGTTTTGAAAACATTTTTCCCTTTTCTCTTCCCGATGGGTGCATGAATGCTTCATACTTCTAATCATCAATTTAACTATAGGCTTTCACACATTCCATTTACATCATCATCACAATTTAATAAGAATTTCTAATCATTCATTCATTTTATTTATTTATTTATTTACAATCATAGCATTCAATTTTTCAAAGAAATAAATAAATAATCATAGGGCATATAATATGTCAACACTAAGTATGCTCATTCACCGTAATGAAACTAATCATATATATGAATTCAAATAACACCTGGAACACACTTATCACTTTGATTAATCATACTTACAACAACCACAAACTAGGTAATCAAAATTAGCATGCTTAGAATCAAATTTAAGGGGGAAAATTCACAAAAAAAAAAAAAAAAAGGAACGAAGTTGTAGATTAGAACACCCCTACCTTAATGGAATTGAAAACTCTCTAAATCTCCAAATCCAAGCCCTAATTTCGGAATCCTTAGGCTTGGCCAAATGATGATCGACTCTTATCAAATTGACGAGCTCTACAACTTTGCTTCACAATATTCTATCAAATTCTCGAAGGAAATAACTAGATCAAGGTTTGAAGTTGCAAAAAGAAAAAGAAAAATGAAATTGCCGAGAGGAGTGATGCAGCAGAGAGAGAGAGAATGTGTGTGCGTGATGGCTTTATGGCCTTTTGTTATTATTTAATTTGTTGGTGGGCCCACTTATTTTTTTTTAAAAAAAAATCTTTTAACTTTAATATATATATATATATATATATATATATATATATATATAATCAGAACTATTACAGTGAAAATGACTGAAATATAATTGCTCAATGTGGGGTCCAAAGCCTTCCTACCTTGACTTGAAATGGTTTGCCAACAAGAAACAGGATAATGGTAGGTACATGTTTTGGTGACAGCCTGATTCTCGGTGAAAATATTCCACTTGCCCATAAAAGATAATTCGAGTTGTAATTATAAAAATGCTGACCGCAGTAGTAGGTTGCAAATGAATCGAACCAAGTTGAGTTTGGGTCTATTCAAGTTTGGCTCGTTTGTTTACAGCTCGTGACAAGTTAAAAAAATTAAACTTGAACTCGGACTCGTCTTAATTTTAAAAACTCAGAATCGACTCGCTTAACAAAAATAAATAAAAATTAAACTCAAAATTAATTATAATCAATATGTCACAACACACCGTATACACTATCATGGAAAAATAGCTTGACTTCCAACCTTATCAAATCAAAGCTACTTGTTTTTTATTAGAGAAGTCTGAACTTCAATACTTATAATACAATTCAATTTCAGACTTAGAAGTATGATACATTATACCTAAACATTAAAACACCAAAAACAAAATAGGGTTTCTTACTGAAGGCAAAGATCAAGCCCCAATTTTCAATGATGCCTTGAGACACCAAGAGAGAGCCCTATGGAAAGAATTGATGATGTTTCATCTCCTACTAGACTTTGATCTTCATTGGCCTCTTAGAAAGAGAGGAAGAATGTACAGATGATATAATTTTTTTTTATGTTTGCCCTCTGGTTTTCGTTGGTCTCTGCCTCTCTTGGTCTTAACTTGCTCTTCACAATTTCATCATTATTGGTGTAAACAATAAAGTGACTGACTACCTAGAGAATGCAAAAGAAATGAAAAGAATACAAAAAAAGGTCAACAATAGTATACAGAAGAATCCCATGCGTGCATAATCCAATGTTTTAAATTTATTAATTTTTTATGTAGGACCATGACTATCTTATATATATTAATGGGGTTCCTCTTCTTCATTTGATCTTGCTTGCGTGGTGTCTTCTGGTTTTTCAAGCTAGATCAGCATCAGTTGGGAGGTCAAGATGAACTAGAGACTCAAAGGAATTCCCCGGGTTTTGTCTCAGCTTATAGTGATAGAGAAATCACACTTGACATATAGGCCCAAGTTATTGCAGGACCGACATATCATTCAAAGGCCATAGCCATCCAACTTTGACTCGAATGACAAACCAACAAGTTGAAACAAAATAGAGTATGGCCTAGTATTTTTCGGTGACAGCTTGTCGATTGAACACAAATCAATCATCAATGCCAACCCTAAGTGGATAACAAAAGATAAATTCAACAACTTAAATAAATATTATTAACACGTACATTATGAGCCACTTTCCTTGAGCCGCCCCTCGTCTCAAATTCAACTGTCATGTATAGTTTATATATACATATACAAAATAGAAACCAAGTCACAGGTATAGTTAGTGTCTAACCAAAATTTTCAAGCTTTGGAGGAAACAATGAACCTCATTAATGGGGTTCCTCTTCTTCATCTTATCTTTCTTGCATGGTGTCTTCTGGCCTTCCAGGCTACATCAGCTTATCTTGGAAGGTCCACCTATATTGTCCACATGGACAAGTCTCACATGCCCAAAATCTTTCCTAGCCACCACCACTGGTACTCCTCCACTGTTGATTCCATAAAATTAGCCAGCCACACAACATCAAATGGTCATCAATCCAAACCAGAGCTTGTCTACACTTATGACAACGCATTACACGGTTTTAGTGCGCTGTTGTCTCAAGATGAACTAGAGACTCTAAGGAATTCACCAGGTTTTGTCTCAGCTTATAGCGACGGAAAAATCACACTTGAAACCACCCACAGCACTGAATTCCTCTCCCTCAATCCTGTCACCGGCCTATGGCCGGCTTCACACTACGGCAAAGACGTCATCATTGCTGTCATCGACAGCGGTGTCTGGCCGGAGAGCAAGAGCTTCAACGACAAAGGAATGACCCCAATCCCCTCTAGGTGGAAGGGTAAGTGCGAGGAAGGACAAGAGTTCAATTCCTCATTATGCAACTTGAAGCTCATTGGAGCTAGATCCTTCAACAAGGGGGTTTTAGCTGCAGATCCAAACATCACAATCAGCATGAATTCTGCAAGGGACACCGATGGCCACGGCACGCACACGGCCTCCACAGCTGCTGGAAACATTGTGGAAGGCGCTTCGTACTTTGGCTATGCACAGGGGACAGCAAAAGGGGTTGCTCCCGGTGCTCGGCTGGCCATCTATAAGGTTAGTTGGGACGAAGGAAGTTATGAATCTGATTACCTTGCCGCAATGGACCAGGCCATAGCTGATGGTGTTGACGTGATATCGATGTCATTGGCTCTCGGACGTGGGATACCTCTGTATGAGGATGTTTTTGCCATAGCTTCCTTTGCAGCCATGGAGAAGGGTGTGCTTGTTTCAGCTTCAGCAGGCAATAGGGGCGAGAATCTTGGACAAGTGCGCAATGTGAGCCCATGGATCTTGACCGTCGGAGCAGGTTCAATCGACAGGTGGTTTGCCGGCACTTTGACTCTCGGAAATGGTTTAACCATCACCGGATGGAGCCTATTCCCTGCAAGTGCCTTGGTGTTAGACCGCCCTCTCATTTACAACAAAACTCTGTCACCATGCAATTCAGCTGAATTGCTGTTTGAAGCCCCTAATGATGGCATCCTCATATGTGATGAGAGTGACATTGACGCATTTAATGATCAATCTCAGTATGTCTCAGGTTCCAATGTGGCTGCAGCTATATTTATCTCTGATGATCCTGCAGTACTTAGATCCAAAAATTTCTACAGCCCCGGAGTCGTGATTAGCTCTAAAGATGCCATAGCCGTGATCAAATATGCTGAAAGTGGAAATACACCAACAGCGAGCATGAAGTTCCAACAGACCATAATAGGGACAAACCGTGCCCCTGTTGTCGCCTCATACTCTGCAAGAGGTCCCGCCTTGAGCTGTCCGACCATTTTGAAGCCGGACCTAATGGCACCGGGGACATTAGTTTTAGCAGCATGGATTCCAAATGACCCGGCAACCACTATTGGCTCTAATATTGGATTGTCCACTGATTACAATTTGCTCTCCGGGACATCCATGTCGTGTCCTCATGCTTCCGGCATAGCTGCGCTCCTAAAAGGCGCACACCCGAAATGGAGTCCAACTGCTATTAAGTCTGCCATGATGACCACAGCCAACCCATTTGACAACACTGGCAATCCCATCCTACAGAGTCGCTTTAATTCCGATGCTTCACCCCTAGACATGGGGGCAGGTCATGTTGATCCTAACCGATCACTTGATCCAGGTCTTATCTATGATGCTACTCCACAGGACTATGTCAATTTCTTATGCTCACTGAACTACACTGACAATCAATTCTTCACCATCACAAGATCAAAGGGTTACAATTGCTCAAACCAGTCTTCTGACCTCAATTACCCATCCTTTATTGTGTTGTACAGTTATGAAAATGAGAAATTGGTTCAGAAATTTCAGAGGATTGTCACGAATGTTGGCAACGCCACGGCCATTTATAGAGCTAAGGTTGAAGCACCAAAGGGTTCTGTGGTCAGAGTCTCACCGAAGACACTGATTTTTAAGAAGATGTATGCGAAGAAGAGCTATTCGTTGACCATAAGTTATAGGGGATTGGAGGGTACAAGCCAAACATATGGTTCTGTAATTTGGGTAGAAGATGCCGGTAAGCATACTGTGAGGAGTCCCATAATGGTCTCACCCTCGCCTGATATTTTTGGGTAGGTTGGTGTTCGAATTTTGCATGTGAATATGTGATGCTAGAGAATTGCCATTGTAAGTGTTTGTGTGTCATGAGGAATAAGTTATTTTGAATGGTGAAAATAAAGTGTAGGATTCTAATTCTCAATCTCTGAAGAGATCATACCAACCATGGCTAAGTGGTTGTGTGTATCTATACATATGTATATCCAAAGTTTTGTGCATTTCTTGACTTTTAAAAATTTATTTATATCAATTATGTGCACAAGGAAAAATTAATTCATAGTTCAAATTTGTATTCTAAAAACAAAATAAACTGTATTTTTTTATAGTGGGAGTTCCACGCATATTCAATTTTTTTTTTTTTTTTTTTTTTTTTTTCACTCTGATGGATCAACTTTTCTTCTTTCTTTTTCAGCAATTTCCAATCGACTTTTCTTCTTTATTTTTCTTTGCTTCACTTCATAATCTAGGTTCTTTGATCTAATCTCATTAGGTAGTCTTTTTCCCGGAATTATTAATCAACTAAAACATTTACTTTTTCTTCTCAATCTTTTCTTTTTCATACTAGTCACTAAACCTTTTTCATTCTCTCTCTCTCTCTCTCTCTCTCTCTCTCACACACACACACACACACACACACATATAGTTTTTATAAGTCATAGTCTTCGTGTCTAACAAAATACTTGATTTTTAAGTTCAAGTTAAACACCTTTGATAAATGACCATATATGTGAGAGTTTGTTTGTGTGAATAATTTTTAAGAAATTTATCATAAAAAGAAATTTTAAAAAAATTAAAAAACCTTTTACGCAAATCATTTGTTTTCTTGAGTAATATATATAAGAATCAATCCTAAAATTATATTTCCAATTTTGATTTCAGTGATTGACGCACAACTTTGAATTCAAAATCAAGTTTAAGGCATGATTTTCTATCAAAAACAAGAATAAATAAACAAAATGATAATGTAGATAAAATATCATAGTCCTTACATTTTTCGAAAATAATTTTGAGCACAAATGCATCCTAAAACTATGGTTATTATGCTACTGAATCGCAAACTCTATATATATAACACATGTTACAAAATAACACTACACACAAGTATAAAACAGAATAACTATACAGTCACATATGCACTTAATAGTCCCAACTCTTGCCAATGTTTGAAACTGTAAGTGACCAATTGCACTAATTTTTACTGTATCTTGATTTAACTAATGATCAAATCTGCATCACCCTAAATTAATTTTAGGGTGATAAATGTGATATAAATTAGATATCTAACGCTGGTGTTTATTTTGATTAGAATTTTCAATTGAGGGCTTCTCGTTTTTATTTTGAGTGTTTGGATTCCTGTAAACGATAAGGTCATTCTTTTCTTTTAGCTCGTGACCAATTGTTGCATGGTGGCCCCAGGCAATTGTAGAAGTCATAAAATCTTGAATGCGTTTGCATAGTTCACATAACATGATGAGCTCATTTATGCCAATTATTTCCCATATACAAATCAATGGGTTTGAGTATTCTTCTTGACTTCCATTAATATGACCAAACAATGCTATCCATTTCTATTCCTTGTTTTCTTTCACCAAATTAGTGATAACGCTGCATTGTTGTTTACCCTAGGGTGGGAATGATCATCAGCTCTAGCTCTTTCCATAAACTTGTAAAACTGAATTATTGTCTCCATTTTGCTTGAAAAGAACGTTAACCTAGCAAAATCGATGTTTATATGTGTTAAAATTTGGGATGCCAAAATAAGAAATGTAAATAGAAAAAGGGAAAAGAGAAAACATATGCATATACATGGTTCGGTGCTAAGGCCTACATCTATGGGCAAAGAGTCACTAAGGGCTACATTTTTATTATTCAGATCCACTATCATATAGAAATATTTATAATTGGAAGGAAATTGACCGGATCACAATGATTGGTGGAGGATTTTGCTCCACAATTATATAAAAATATTTATAAATTTCAACACTCCCAGAGCATGAATATCATGAATACCCAACTTGCTAAAGAAACGCCTTGAAAGATGATGAGAAAGTGTATGAAACAAAGTCAGGAAATTGGCCAGATCTTGCTGGGGAAATGACCAAATCTTGCCAGGAAAATAAACTGGAACTCGCCGATGATAATGGCCGGAACTAAGCTGGGAAAAAGCCAGAAGTACGCCAGGAAAGGAATGTGAAGACACGGAGAATATGCTCCATAATAATAATTCCAATACTCCCCCTCAAATTATGGATGGGATTGTAAGAACAACTTGGCTCTGATTCAATTCAAAAATATACGTTTCATCCGATACGTCATAGAAGATTCTAGACACCGCCTCCCATATCTCCTTACTCGTGGGAAGACAAATAAATCGCTGCGTCAATGATGGGATCATCGAGTCAATGAGCCAACTCTTGACTCGATGATTTTTGGTTATCCATGTCTCCAATTTCGGATCTCCAAGTGTGGGATTTTTCGCTTCTCCGGTGAAATACCCAGCCTTGTTACGAGCGCCAATCCGCATTTCCATGAGTTGAGACCATAATGAGTAATTAGTCTCATTCAGTATAATTCCATTTGGAAATGTAGAATTGTCTTGGTGGACTATATATAATCTGCGGTGCCGGAGTCGGGGTTGGTACGGTAATTGCGCCTGAAGTAATCGCCATTTAGATAACAACAGAAATAAAATTCGAAATATGATATTCGAAATACGGAATGCGAAGAAGAAAAAAAAATTCTTAGAGTTGCTCTGATACCATGTTAAAATTTGAGATTCAGAAATAAGAAATGCAAATAGGAAAAGGGAAGAGAGAAAACACATGCATATACATAGTTTGGCACTAAGGCCTACATCAATAGACAAAGAGCCACTAAGGGTTACATTTTTATTATTCAGATCGGTTTATTGCTTGAGTACAAGGAGCCTATATATAGGCATGGTAAAGATAAGAATATATGGAAGGTGTACAATAGTCAAAGGAGGCACCATGATTGGTGGAGGATTTTGCTCCACCGTTATATAGAAATATTTATAATTGGAAGGAAATTGACCGGATCACCATGATTGGTGGAGGATTTTGCTACACAATTATATAAAAATATTTATATATTTCTACAATATATCAATATATATATATATATATATATATATATATTTCAATACAGAACAAATACCATAAGCAAACTAGAGACCTCAACATGAATGATATGCTGCAACCTCAACTCTAAGTCGGTCTTTCTACAACTAGTATTCGAGGACATATGTGTTTACACCATAAATTAAAATTTAGAATCAGCCACATGGGATGTGCTGATTGTTTGCCCCAAAATCAGAAATTTTGCCACATGGCATAGTGTTGGAAGATGTTTGGTGCAATTGAAATATAATGTGGTAATTTTGTAACTTAAGAAAACTACAAAAGCAGTAATATTTAAGCACCTGTTCACATTACACATCAATTTTTTGACATGTGGTGATGGTTTATATTATACATGTTGATGAAGGAAATAATAAGAAGGCTTGTGCACGTGTAATTAGTTGATGAAGAGGATAAGCATGGATAAGTTTGTTAGGATTCAAATTCAAACACTAGAGTTTGAATTCAAATCAAAGTGTGAGTTGGTTCGTTAGGTAACTACCATTAACCGATCTAGGATGCAATTATAAATAACGTGGAAGAAGGCCTGTGCAAAGGTCCACGACCACAAAATCTGCAATTTCATATTATTCCTTACTGCACTGTATTTCCTTTTTCTAGTATTTTCCTTTCCTTGTATTTGCTTTAGGAGTAGTTTCCTAGTTTGCATTAAATTCCTTACTTATAATTCTTGTAATGGAATTCTGCTTATGTAATAAAATTAGGATGCTTGACTCAGTTCCCTCCTTGTTTTATTTCTTGAGTTTATCTTTTCAAATTGATGAACGCTTATGCAATTTGTTCCCTTCATCAATTTTATCCTCTATTTTAAAAGTCCTCTTCATTGAGGCATTGAAGAGCCCAAAACGGAAAGCGGTAATCCTTGCTTTCTAAACAGTCACATGAATTCTTTAAAGACCAATTTCAAGTTCGGTTATAATTAAGGATAGGTTTTGCTATTCTCTAATTGAGTTAATAGACTTTGGCACACCCCTAAAAAAAAAAGAGCCAAACAATTTGGGATGACCAGTGGGACTTTTCCTGGAATTATCAAAAATCTGAGGTGCTGAAAATCTGAAGGCACTGAAGTGTCGAAAATCAAAAGCGCTAAAAATCAGAAGCGATGAAGTGTCAAAAATTAGAAGTGCTGAAATTTCTAAATTTACATTAATGGCTATTTCAAGTGATTTTCATGAGGTTCAAATAGCAATTAACGTTTTGCAAAATTCGGTCATAAAATTTTGTGATTCCCTTGCTGCTTTAGCGGCAAAATCATATCAGCAACTTATGGCACGACCACAATGTATGGTTAATATACCACCACAAGTTGCAGCACCTATTCAACCATATAATTAATTCTATCAACCACAGCACTATCAACTGCAATGTTGCCAGCCACTCCAACAACATATGTATTATTAGTATCAACCGCAGACGGCACTAGCGGTTCCACAGCAACAAGTTCCTTTACAATTGCTGATGGAGTACCAAGCCAATTAACAAGTATATTAGAGGCCTAAAATTTCAACATTTCAACCCAATCCAAAGCCGTTGATGTCAAAAGTTGATCAAGAGCGGTGATGTGTCTCAGTTTATTACCACTCGCAATAGCACGAATTTTTGTAGTATAGTACTATATAGAGGGTATCGATCCCACAGGGAGATGAGTGTTCTTTGCTTTGTTTTTAACTAATCAAACTTATTTCTTGGTTTACAGGTACCTGGTTGAATTGATTAATTGATTGGTTGTCACAAACATAAAATAGAATTAAACTGAAAGTAAACTAAAGTGATCAGAGAGAGAAAAGTCTTAGGGCTTTGACTTCACCACAACCTTCATACTATGGTTAACTATTTTAACTTTGGGGATTTAACAATTTATATTCCAAATGAATTGAATGCAATAACATTCGTCCAATTCGGTTTTAAAGAAAGATGTTTTATAAATTCCAATTAACAATAACCTATCTGCGATTAGCATGGACTATCTACCTACCTACTTTAACTACTTTAACTAATTTTGCAAACGATCCATCTTTCCTAAGCATAGACTATGAAAACATTCATTTATAAAAAAAATATTGGAACACATTTACATAATCTCCATTCT